GACCCCCTCCACTCTGCATCCCCCTACTGAAAGTATATTTTTTGTTTCAAGTGTGTGTTTCATTGCCCTTTAAAACATATTTATGATAGCTATTTAAAACACTTACCTGAGAAGTCTGAAATCTATGTTATCTTGTTTGCATCTTAAGATTATCTTTTCTCATTCAAGTTGAGATTATCCTAGTTTTTGGGATAATAAATGGTTATCTATTGAATACTGGACATTTGGGGTATAAGTCTGTGTATCTTATTTAAATCTTTTGTTTTAGTAAGCCTCCTCTGACATGGCCCCAGCCTAGGAGGGTATAGGAGTGCCACCTTGTTACTATCAGATATGATAGTAACTTTCTCCACTTGGTCTTTTTTAACACCCTGGTGGAAGGGAGAGGGTTTGTTATAGCTAGATGGTGGTGAAAGTCCTGACCCTCCACTATGCTTCTCCCAACACCACTCCAATGAGAAGGGGCAGGGTGCCTCATTGTCCAGCAGGGGTGAAAGTCGTGACTCCCCATTCAGCCTTTCCTGTCATCACCCCTGTAAGGGAATTGGGCCACTGCATTCCAGTCTGGCAAGGATAGAAATCTAGGCTCCCCATTCGGCCTTTGCTGGTGGGGGTCTGCCATTTTTTCCATGGTGTTTGGCTGGAGTAGGGCACTTTTACTTAAACATTTTCTGTCTTGCTAAATTATTCTTTTTCTGGCCTTTTGGTTATAGAGATCAGACGTTGTTTTTTTTTTCCCCTTTTCCCAGTGACATTTCCAGGTTGTTGGCTTCTCTAGCGCCCAATCCAGGATATATAAAAGAAAACCCAGGAATTCAGCACTGTGTTACTTCTTGGGTCTTGAAATCCCTAAACTGGTCTTTCTCCTCTCCTTTTTTCTGAGTCCTCTTATATTTGTTTTATGGATAACATCCAGGGCTGTTACTTATACTAAGCAGGAAGAATGCAGAAAAGTAAATCTGTTACATCTTGTCTGGAAGCAGAAGTTACAAATGGTCGTGTTTTTTTATCATGAATGTAATTATATTTTAAGTATTAAATATAGTGTGTTCTAGAATCTGTAATTACTGAGTAGAAAGCAATATATGTCAATATTTGTATACAAATAATTACATACCTTTATGAACGCAACCAATATATGTATAATGGAAAGATTGATAAGGTCTTATTTTTGATATCCATTTTTTAAAGAGATAGTACATTAGAGTTTTAATCCATGAAAAGTAGTTGAGTTGGTTGGCCCTCTTGGGAGAAAATTTTGGGTTAGTTTAACTTTAGTGGCATACTGACTACCTATAAGACTAGACTTTTTCTTTGACCTTACACTAGTTTTCCTTGTTAAGAAGTTATTTCTTTGCAAAGCTCTATAGATTTTAATGCAGCTTATTTTACACATGTAAATGGATATATGTGGTTATTTTAAAACATGAGTACGAACTACAAAAAAAGGAAGCTCCTTTTCTGATATGAAATTGTTAAAAGTCACTTGGTGCTTTCTTTCATGGACATGTAAAACCAAAACTGTATATGTGTATGTGTGTATATAATTTACGCCTTAATGAGTTGCCTCCTTAGATCTCCAGTGGTATAGTCATTGAAAACTGAAAAGCAAAGAACAAAACTTAGGGTTTTTGCCGTGTACATACTCATCACTTAGTGTAAGAATGCATTATCTCCTTTAACAGTATTTGCCACACATATGTTGTTGCAATTGTTGGACAGTTTTTGTCTGTAGACTTGTATTAGAAGTAATTCTGTGCATTACTGATAGATTTTTGTACACCAAACATAGGCATGTAATTTTCAAAGTTTATCTCACATGGAGAATTCTAAAAGAGAGAGAAGGTAATTAATTACAAGTCTGTATAATGTGATTTCATTCATTTACTTACCCCTTTTGAGGCATTAGTGTGACAAGCATATTGCAGGCAGAGTGGAACAGATTACTCATACCGCTAGAACACTGGTGCATGACTGAGCATGTTAAATATATGTTTACATTTTAGTTATAAAGGAGTTGATTTTAGTTATGAAAAGGATTGAGAAAAAAGCTTGAGGACAAGTCAGTGACAGATATTATCCTAATGTAATATTATTCTTAATAATGATGCATCTAGGCCGACATACAAGCATTTTCACTATCAATTTGGATATTTAGGAAAGTGTCATGTCTTTCACATGGACTTCCAATTGATATCAAAGGTGATGAGATTTTATTTTGAAAAGTATGTTTTATGACAACACTATATGTGACAAGAACATTTTAACTGTATCCTAAATGGCTGCAAACTGTAGTTATTACAGTGTCAGCATATTGGCTTTTGCATAAACCCGCTATGTGGTAAGTTTCAGTTCCCCCACCGTATTTAGCTGATGCATAGTAAATAACACTTCCACAGTCCTGAATTCATTCATACGCACTGAGCGACCTTTTAATTTGCTCGGGAGGTATAACACCGTGCGTTAGAACTGCTGTCAAATCTTTTCCCCCAAGTTAACTAGGAAAAATATTTTTATGATAAAATCTTTAAAGTGCTTTGGAGACAAGGTTTTATTTATTGACTTGCTTTGAACTCCAGGGAGTTTCTTACCTTCAGGGAAACTGACAGGCAATCTTAACCCTATTTGTTTAAAAAAGTGGAATTACTTAACCATTAGGCTTGGATTCATATTGTTGTCATTATCAGTTAGATCTATAGTAAACATGATAAAATATTTGTGGACCATAATCTGTAATGAATATATATGGGTATTATGCAGCAAGTAGAATTAAACCTCAGATAGGGAACTAGTATGTGTTTTAATTTTCTTCCTCACAAATTCAAGATTTTCACCTAAATTTTTACCCTAAATCTACACAAATTTAACAAATTGAGCATGTTATAGCTAATGAAATCATTTCTTCCTATGGTATAGTTAGTAATTTATCACAAAAGCGATGCTATTTTTACTTTATTAGCTTAGAGTGAAAATAAATACTGCTTGAAAGTACTCTTTTGACCGTAGATAAATGGGAGGAGAATGGGACTTTTCCCAGTGGGAAGATGGACTCGCACGTCCCCTACCACCCTCACCTCCGTACCTACCTCTGATAGGGCGTGTCTTCTTACATGTGCTTTTAATAATGCTTGGTTGTATTTCACTAAAACAAAAATAATATTATGGTAACTTTATTTTGGTCTGCACATTACAAATCACCGTAGTTTAATTCACTTGGATTGTAATGTCAACATTTCAAGCAGAACATGATGTAGTAATATATATATTTAACAGTGGTTTTAGAGGGACTACCACGTATAAGTAGAAGAATGTCACTACCAATTAAGTGGCAGTCACACACACACGTAGAGTCAGAGATGAGAGAAAAGTCAGGTCCATTAGAATCAAATAAACTTTGACTTATGCGTATCCTTGATTCCTAAACTCTTAAAACTTGGAAAGTAGACTTAAAGTAGAGTTAATAGCTTTCTCATAGAAACTGGAAGGTCCGGATAAAGTTTTAAAATGTTTGAAGTGTGTGCTGCATAACTTACTTGAATTTTCCTCGAAACCGAGGCCCTTTGCAAAGGGCCTGTTGCCCCGGCTCCCTCTCCCCGGAGGTGCTCAGCGGACTCCGTGTGTTCTGTTATAGGTTCACTACTGTGATAGACAGAGTGGCAGAGAGTGTGTGACCTGCCTGACCTTAGCCCCCGTGCAGATGACTTTCCATGCTGGTGGAAGCTCCGTTGAAGCCAGCCATGACCAGGTACCCTATGCCACTGACATTGTGCTGTGTGCTGGCCCAGCAAAGAAGTCAGAGACCATCAAAACGGAAGCTCTGTGGACACACACAGCTTTGCTTTCCCTAATACAGACAGGCGTGGGCAAAAGTAGGCTTACAGTTGTGAGACAAATAAATACAGTCAAGCCTCGGTTCTCAAATGTCTCCCATCTCGAACAGTTCAGTTCTCCGCTTAGTTGTCCATGGAAAAAATGTCTCGGTTGTCGAACCAAACTTGGGTTTTCCATCTGAGAACCCTTTCATGCTGATACCTCAGCGTGACGAAAAGCATCTTTCAGGCAACAAACAATGGAGAGAATGCTTTTGTTGCTGGTGAAATCCATGATTAGCACGATTTTAACACAAAGAAGCCATCAAGAGTGCTGATGTTGCTAAGGGTGTAAAGAGATAATGGTCACAGGCAATTTGAAGAGGTAGAAAAACTGTTGTGAATTGGATAAATGAAAAGCAGTTAGCTGGTGACAACATTTCAAAGCGAAGACTCTGCATGCTGACTTCCGAAGAGACACTCCTTGAAGGAGAGTGGAAAGTGATTCCTTTAAGGCTAGAGGGGTGGGGTTCGATCAGTTTAAGAAAAGAAGTGTTTGTTTACAGATTAAACAGTACATGAGACATGTACTGTATATAAACAAGAAAGGTTAAAGCAGGGAATCATTTGTGGGTCTGGAACGGATTAATTCAATTTACATTGTTTCTAATGGGAAAAATGATTCAGATTTTGAACAAATCACTTCTTGAACAGCCTTCCAGAGCAAATTGAGTTTGAGAACTGAGGTTCCACTGTAATGTGATAGTTAATAAATAATAACATAAGAATAAACTCCGTGTTTCACGTACTTACAACTCCAAACTTACTTTTGCCCCACTCCATGCATTATCCACTAGCATTATTTCCTAGATTTTTGAAAAAACGGAAAATTTTATGTTGGGAAACTGATGTCTTAGGCGATTTTAGTTATTTTAGACATCTAGTTTGCAGTTTATTATTAATTTAAATATAGAGTCCTCTTACAAGGAAGAAATGATAGAAGTTATTTTTAATAATTATATAGGGGAAAAGTATCAGCAAAAACAGTGTCAATAACACTGGGCTTTCACTATAATGTGCTCAGTTCTGCTGAAGAGAGTTAGTTAGTGTTATAGAATATATAGGATAAGCATGTGAACTTTCAGAACTATCAAACTACTCCCATAATTTGGGATATTATTAAAATGAAGTTTCAGTGTTATTTTTAACATTTTATTTGTGAAATAAGGCTAAAAATCTGAAAAGTATATTATTTTTTAATAAACAAGTTCCTTTGTTTAGATAACAGCTTGTATACATATTTTCAATTAATCATCAGATTAGACTAAACCAATGATCTAGGTCATACAATTTCTCTTTGGAGTCAAAATAAATAGATGTACAGTTTATAGTATGACTCACCAGCTGTGCTTTCTAAATTAACCATTCACAAACAGAGTAACCATAACCCACTTTCATATTAATTTCCCAGTAAATTTCCTTTTATCTGCTTAGTGCCCTTGCATGGAGCGAATAAAAGAGCATGAAGTGTTATCTTCTCAAACACATGATTAATTGTCCAACTCAAACCAGACCTGGGAAAATGTTCTCAAGGGCACAGCTCTCTAGTTCATGATGTCTCTGATGTGGGTTTCCAATCATCGCTTATTGATTGGTGGCGAGGTATTGCGGTGTTTAGGAAAGAGCAACTAGTTGGTCAGAAAATCTGAGTTTGGGGAACTAAACATGGCATACGACGCTCCCTGGGTGGATTCTGTCATCACTTTGGCACTTGTTTCCTGGACTGTTCAGTGGGGGAGTTGGGTTAGATGACTTATAGGATCACCCCTGTGCAGCTCAGGGATTTCACAGACTTCGCCCAGCTGCAGAGGGAGTGCAGCAGGCCTCTGAGGAACATGGCCCCAGCTAGCGGATAGAAAGTGTTGTGTTTCCCTGTATAAAACTATGACTTAGCTTTAGCAAGGTGCCAAGGATACATGGTAAGAGTGTTAGACACGTTCCTGCTTTCATGGAGCTTATAGACGAGCAACTAGACCCCTTTGAATATTTGCTAAGAAGCTATCTCTATCTGTCTCTGTCTTTCTCTCTATCTCTGTCTGTCTCTATGTCTGTGTCTGTCTCTATGTCTGTGTCTATCTCTATCTCTATCTCTATCTCTGTCTCTGTCTCTGTCTCTGTCATCTCTATCTCTCCCTTCACCTCCACCTCCGCCTCTACTATACCTGTATCACTCGTGGCAGAAACAAATGGCCTGAGTAGCATGAGATAACCCTCCTGCAAAGGCCTCTCTTTAGCCTGAGCAAAGAAATGCGAGAGTGCCTTAGAAACCCACACACCTGAGAAGAGCAGCCATTGTTCGCAGAGGTAGCGTGTTGCTTGTAGAACAGCCCTGGACTGGGAATGGAACTGGGATCAAACCCAGAATTGCCCTGAACTACCTGTGGGGCCTCATCTTTTCGCCGGAATTTGACTTCTTCATGAACTTGGCTGACACAGTCTTATGCTAAAGTTACTCAAAGTCCAGGGCTACTTTACATATTCGAAAAAAAGGGGGCTCGTCCTCAAGGCATTTCAATGCTATCCAACAGAAAATTGTTGCAGTAGACTGACCTGGTCTACTACACAACTGCACACAGTGATCTTACACTACATCTCTCTGGAATGTCC